TTTGCTAAGGACTTGTTTAGTGCATCTAGTCATTCCTCACATGTTATAGGCTTATTTATGAAAATCAAATGAATTTGATGCTTGTATGGTACCACTATTGCTTCTATGCTTGACTTGATCTAGTGGTAGCATATGACATGTTCGTGGGCTTGTGAACCTAGTGTTTGATCTAGAAAATAAGCTATAAGTGTTTAATTTAACATGGTACAAGATAACCCTTATTTGGAGGTGTGAATAAGTTTGTCCTTGGATCAAACCGAGTTAAATATCTTTGGCAAGTGTTCTAGATTGAAACAAATTTGGGAAAATAATCCTCACCCCATTGATTGACATTGATAATCTTAACCTATCTAAAATTGAACCTTTGTGATCATTGATGACAAAGGGAGAGAGAAACAAAGATATAAGTGATAGGGAGAGAAGTAATCACTAAGGGGAGAAATATGAATCATTAAGGTGGAGAAATATGACAAAATAAGGGGTTCAATTAAAATTTAAGCACACAAGTAGGGGGAGCAAGCTCATAAACTTGATTGATGCTTTTGAATGTACATTTTCATATGTTTCTTGCATCGCACAAGTTTTAAATTTCAATATCCATGCTTATGTGGTGGATGCTAGTTGTAGGTTTGATTGATGAAATAAAAAACTAGCATGCATAGGTTGAGTAACTGGACTTGTGTCTATATTGTGAAAACTAGACCCTTGCTTCTAATATTGATCTCACCGGGTATTCTAGTTTGTGTGAATGTCTAGTTACTAATGGTGCTAAGGATGGTATAATGGTGCACTCCGATTGATATCACGCTTCAAAGGTCCATCTCTTATACCTTAGCATCATTTGGTAGGCATTGCCCTCCCACATTTCCAATTCATGCATATGTGCAAGCTTCAATCTAAACTCTTAGCACATATGTAGGGGGAGCTAATGCTATCATTTGGGGTTCATGAAACTTGTTCATATCCTTTTACACATGGTAAATATGCTTAGGTAAGCAACATGGATTCAAATGAATTTTAATTCATATCTTTGTGAAAGGGTTGTCATCAATTACCGAAAAGGGGGAGATTGAAAGCTCTAGTTTGGTTTTGGTGAATTGATGAAACCCTAAGTGCTAACCTAGTTTATCTAAGTGATTGTGAGATAGGTGGCCCTATTCCAAGTGGTGGAGCAATGATGAAGATCATGATAATGGTGTGACCATGGTGATGATCAAGTGCTTGGACTTAGAAAAGAAGAAAGAGAAAAATAAAAAGATTAAGGCAAAGGTGATATTCCATAGGAGTTTTTTTGGTTTGGTGATCGAGACACTTAACGAGTGTGATCACATTTAGGATCGATAGCCATACTATTAAGAGGGGTGAAACTCGTATCGAAATGCGGTTATCAAAGTGCCACTAGATGCTCTAACTCATTGCATATACATTTAGGATCTAGTGGAGTGCTAACACCCTTGAAAATGTTTGTGAAAATATGCTAACACACGTGCACAAGGTGATACACTTGGTGGTTGGTATATTTGAGCAAGGGTGGAGAAGTTGGTGAAGTGGAGTTGTTTTTCACTAAAAAACACTGACCGGACTCGGCATTTGAGATGACCGGACTCGCCCTCCCTGCGTCCGGTCAGTACTGGAGTGAGACCGGACGCCGAGGCAAAAAGTGATCGGACGCGCAAGGCCTGCGTCCGGTCAGGGGATGACGTATGCTGACGTGTGCATCTTCGCGAGCAAGAGAGGATCGGACTCAGAGCGGCGTCCGATCGCCTGTGAACGGACACGTCCGGTCGTCGTTTTCTTCTCTAGATGTTTACTGGAAACGACCTATTTCAAGCGGGCTTCACCAGATATCCAAAGCTGAGGGCAGAGAGCCAACGACAATATTTCGAGGGGGCCTCTATTTAAGCTCCATGACTGGCTCAAGCTCACTCTCTTGGCATTTACATTGACATAGCAACCTTGTGAGCTTAGCCAAAGCCCTCCCACTCATGTCCATCATTGATTCATCATCTTTGTGAGTTTAGGAGAGAATCCAAGTGCATTGCTTGAGTGATTGCATCTAGAGGCACTTGGTGTTCGTGTTTCATTGCGGGATTCGCTTGTTACTCTTGGTGGTTGCCGCCACCTAGACGGCTTGTAGCAGCAAGGATCATCGATCGGAGAAAGGTGCTTGTCTCTGACTCCGATCGTGGTGATTGTGAGGGGTTCTTGACCTTTCCCCGGCGGAGAGCCAAAAGGTACTCTAGCGGATTGCTCGTGGCTTATGTGATCCTCATCTTATGTTGGTTGTCGTGTGATGCCAATTAGCGTGTGAACCTCCAAGTGAGTGAATCGCCACAATGAGGACTAGCTTGTCGGCAAGCAAGTGAACCTCGGTAAAAAACATTGTGTCATCATTTGATTCCGAGGTGATTGGTATTCATTCTTGTGATTGATTGGTTCATTTCTCGACTCGGCGGTATAACCATCTTGCTCTCTCTCTCTCTTTATATTACCGCAAACTAGTTGTCAAGCTCTTTAGTGTAGCTAGTCGTGAGAGCTTGTTAGTTTGGTTAGTGTGGCTCTTTAGTTAGCCTTTGAGAGCACACTAACTTAGTATAGTGACATAGCCTTTGTGTGGATAGACTGTAGAAACTAGAATTGTGGTAGGTTGCTTGCATTTTTAGTAGGCTAGCGCAACACTCGCTTCACCTCATATTTGTCTAACCGGTTTGTTAAGTATTGTTGTAGAAAATTTTAATAGGCTATTCACCCCCCTATAGCCATTAGGACCTTTTAGTAGGGGTTTAATCTTCTTGGAAGCCATGTTTGGATGCTGATGAGGGTACCTACGTTACAAGTACTTGTCAGTTGGTTCACTGGTACATATTCGAGCTTCCATTTAAGGCTACTTGGTTGTGTTTATTTGTAACTACAAGGGCTTTATGAGCCTATTAAGGAACACCTAAATAAGCAACATACCATGTTTGGTTCAGGGTAGAAGAAGCATGAGGAATTCTAACTCTTTGTTTAGGTTTTCTGCAAAAAAAACGCCAGACCAGCTGTGGCAACTATCTAGGCCAATTTATGTAGCGTCTATAGGAAATCTAGGGCTGGTTTTGACAGATTCGGTAACCATCAACTAGATCCTTTCACTAGGTAATTACCCGGCCCCTAAAGATAAAATGTACTCCCTCCGTTTCGAATTATAAGTCGCTTTGACTTTTTTACATCGAATTTGCTATGAATCTAGGCATAAGTTATGTCTAGATACATAGTAGATTTGATGTACCAAAAAAGTTCACCTTTGCTGCACACTCCGCTGAAGACCACTGGCAGGAATTGAGTTGCAATGGCCCCACGCCTTCCCTGATGTCATGCATGGAACCTTGTGACGGATATGATATGAAACAGCTAGCATCAATTAATTTCTAGTGAACACCCTTCTCCTTACTAATGCTATATATTGGACTCTAGGTCCCTTTCCCATCCCACTCCCCATCTCCTTCTCTGATTCACATACCTCGATTCTGAGGCGAGCTCATCTGAAGCCTCCAGATCTCCTCAAGCTCCATTTTTGTTGCCGCTATAGGGACCGGTTGCAGCGCTGCTGCCAGAAGGAAGGAGGTAAGTCAAACTCAAGTTTTAATTGTTCTATTTTCCAAGGGGGGATTGCATCCTCAAATCGAGTATTTCTACATCCTACAACACACAAATTTCTTTGGCCTCCCTATTCTCTCACAATTTGGGCTAGGGTTAGGGATTTGGGCTTGTGGTTTGGGTGCTTGGAATTTCAAATAAATCTATCCAAAGAAGGAAATCTAGGGGGGAGGGGTCAGGTATGGAGGATGGCATGGTGCTGGAGGTTGTAGGTGGGGCGACCCACTGACTAGGGTATTAGAGGACAATTAATGGCAAGATTGGGGTGGGGGCATCAGTCCAAGATGGGATTAGCATGGTGACGGGGGTGATGTCATGGATTTGGTGATGGGGGCTGTCGAAGATGAAAGAGGGATGGGGCGCATGGTAGCGACTGTAGGAGGGTGAGACGAGACACCGGTTAGAGTAACAGATGACAACTACTAGCAAGACTAGGGTGGGAGCATCAATACAAGCTAAGAGGGATTAGCTTGGCAGCTAAGTGATGTTATGGATCTGGTGATAGGAGCTATTAGAGATGAAAATGGGGAGGGCGGTGCGGTGGTGGAGGCCATTGACCGATGGGATGGCTCAGTTGAGTAAAGTAGCAAAGCATGACTAGTGGCAAGATCAAGCAGGGGCAAGAGGAACTAGCGCGGCGGCAAGGTGATGTCATGGATCTAGTGATAGAAGCCGCTGGAGAATGGAGAAGAAGGGTGGCGTGGATCATCAAACTATACGTGGTAGGATCGAGCACCTTGATAAGCAAATAAGGAAGATGAAATTCATGTGAGACAGAAAACAAGGAGAAAGAGTTTTAGAAGTTTAAGAATTAGTAGTAGTTTTGGCATTTTTGTAGAACTTGAATTCTTTGTCCTCTCTTTTTGAATGGTAAACACTATAGAGTATGTTATTAGCAATAAGAATTTTCGCTTGGAACGTTTTTAGGTCGAGATATTTCTTAAGAAGAAAGGAGGGGCAAGAATATGGAAGGTGGATGAATGAGAGGCATTTTCCATTTTTTCCATAGCCGAACAGGGATATGAACTAGGTTGGACGAGGCGGGAAAATGAACAGAGACAGGAATAGAAGCGACGTCCATCAGTCGCCTTTCCAACGACACCATAACCAACATCCGCCTCCGCTTGCTGGCCAAATCCGTCCTCTGCGCCGGCGCCGTCTGCAAGGCATGGCGCCGCATCACCACCAACACCAGCTTTCTCACCGAGCACGCGCGCCTTCAGCCGGCCGATGTTGTCCTGTACACATATAAGTTCTCGCCGCGGTGCAAAGACCTCCGGCGAGGGTACTTCGAGGACGAGCTAGCGTTGGACCTGCTCCCTATCTCCTCCTCCGACGACGACGAGGCGGCCCGGCGGCGCCTCATGCGCTACCCCAAGGACAAGAAGGCCGCCTTCCTCCTGCTTGCCTCGTGCAACGGAGTGTTGCTGTTCCACACGTCGTGTGACCAAGGTTTTAAATCTTCTGCTATCTCTGACTATACCTACCTCCTCTGCAACCCCATGACGAGGCAGTGGGCCGAGTTCCCACGACTTCCTCCGGCTCCTAAGTTCGTCTTCGATTATATTGACGAGTACGCCTTCTACTACCATGAGCCCTCCGGTGGGTACCGGCTCCTGTTGCGCCGTCAGCGCAGTTCGTGGTTCATCCTCTCCACCGGGCTCCGCCGAGCTCGGGAGGTGGACCTGCACGCCGACCTTCCCGAGACAATGGGGATAACCAACTTGTTGAGGACGACGCCCGTGGCTCTAGAAGGCCGGCTGCACTGGCCGCCACGCCAGGCGGCCGGAGCACCCGCCGACGCCGCAGGCGAGACGAGTACGAGCACGACGAAGATGGCGGTGTTCGAGTTCGACACGTTGTCAGAGACGTTCCATCTGATGGCGGGGCAGATGACAGCCACTGCCGACCAAACGAAGGTGTTCGACATGGAGGGGCGGCTTGTCGCGGCCGACTTCGGGGACGAGGAGCACGTCCAGTGGCGGACCCAACGGGTAGCATAGGTAGGCCGAGGACTACCCATAAATTTGGTCCAAAATTTTATTACTACTCTTCAGAAACCGATCCACGGTCACTCTCGTCTCAGCCCAGGCCGAAGACACCGTAAATCCACGAGCTCTTAAAAAAATAACGCGCCCGAGAGGGATCGAACCGGAGACCTCATGCCTCATGCTGCAATGCGCTTATTAATCCAGCTACGAAAGTTTGTTGGATAGGTGATACCCGCAACCCTATTTAATAAGGAAAAACAGGAAAAAAAATATCCCTTCATTAATCATCCATTGGTATGCTAAATCATATCCTAAACGACTTTCTTTACCGGTGTGGAGGGAGTATTTATGTAAGTTTCGAACCTTTTAAATGTATTATCATAATTTGGTTAATTTATAGCTATGTTTGTCAAACTTTTTGTTTGGATTTTATAGTATTACACATGAAATTTTTTTACCAAGACTACCCTGGTCTCAGATCCTGGGTCCGCCACACGTCGACCTCTGGTTCCTCGAGGATTACAATGCTGGGCGCTCCCACGCCGTGGCACACCGGTGCCCCAAGGCCGGAGCCGGAGGAGCGCTGCCCAAAGTGCGTGGCCGCGGCGGGTGACGACAGGGAAGGCGCTGTCATCCTGGGCAACCACCTGGGGCTGCTGGTGTACAACTTGAGGACGAGGACGGCGAGGACGGTCAACTCCGTGGCGGCGTCGGACCACAGCGTCGTCGTGTCGCGGCATCTGTTCAGGGAGAGCCTGGTGCAGCACCGGAGCTCTCGCCACTTCCTCCGATTCCTGAGCCCGCCGATGATATCATTGACGAGTACGCCTTCTACTACCACGAGCCATCCGGCGAGTACCGGCTCCTGTTGCGCCGTTCGTGGTTCATCCTCTCCACTGGCGCCACCGAGCCTCGGGAGGTGGACCTGCGCGCCAGGCTTCCTCAGACGATGGGGATAACCACCTTGCTGAGGACGACACCCGTTGCTCTCGAAGGCCGGCTGCACCGGCCGCCACGCCAGGCGGCCGGCGCACCTGCCGCCGCCGCCGCAGGAGAGAGCGAGACGGGTACAAGCACAACAAAAATGGCGGTGTTCGACACGTTGTCGGAGACGTTCCATCTGATGGCAGGGCCGCCGACAGCCACTGCCGACCAGACGAAGGTGTTCGACATGGAGGGGCGGCTCGTCGCGGCCGACTTCGGGGATGAGGAGCACGTCGACCTCTGGTTCCTCGAGGATTACAATGCTAGCAAGTGGGAGCGCCGGCACCGGGCTCCCACGCCATGGCACACCGGTACCGTGGGAATCCCAGAGCTGGAGGGGCGCCGCCCGAAGTCCGTGGCCGCGGCAGGCGACGACAAGGAAGGCATCATCATGCTGGGCAACCACCTGGGGTTGCTGGTGTACAACTTGAGGACGAGGACGGCGAGGACGGTCGACTCCGTGGCGGCGTCGGAGCACAGCATCGTCGTGTCGCGTCATGTGTTCAGGGAGAGCCTGAAGCAGCACCCGAGCTTCACCGCGCGGTCCGCTGCTGAGCTGGGGGTGAACATCTTCTGGTATTGATCTGTTGTCCCTCAAAATTCGTCACTGTGCTCTTGGGATGATATGATATCTGTCCATCTGATCAATGTTTCTGTTCAGTCTGCTGCTCTGTAAGAACCTATATTTAAATGGCTACTTGGTAGGGTTGATTTTCTTTGATTTTCCAGAGATATATGTAGCTGGTAACATGTCACAGCTCGGATCGTTTTTGTCGTATTTCATGCAAAAATCAGATGAACCTTTGCATTATTTTCAGTCTTGTATGCTTCTACCTTCTACTCATTGGGTATGCCCTTTGTGGAATTTATTTCAGACAAGCTTTCTTTTTCTTTGACTGAGGTTGAAGTGAACAGGCACGGAAATATTTCATGTCCAGATCAGATTGCCCTTCAGAGACATCAGACTACTGCCTGTTTACTACTGCCGTTCGGAGTATGCTGAAGAAGTGAATGTTGTTCTGCTCAGGTCTGAAGAGCACTGCACAGTTCAGGGAGCTGGCATTGCCAGATAGCCTTGCAGCTTCTGGAGGCTCATTCTTGACTTCGACTCGACTGCTAATAACTTAATATTTTATTTGGATACATGGAAATCATATACCGATAGGTAGGTTGGCTTTGAAAAATATTTTTGAAGTCCCATAAACTTTTGTCCGGGCGGGTTTACAAGGCGTCTGTCCAGTGTCCACAGAGGAGTTAAAAGCCCTTCTTACAAATTCATCTGGCGAAGCTTTGCTCCACCCAGAGTCCCATTTTTCGGTTCGCTACTGACTCAGGAAAGTATCCCAAGTAAGAGCAACCTCATGCAGAAAAATATTGTTGACAACCCCGTCTGCGAGCTCTGCCTCTCTGAAGAAGAGACTCCTGATCACATCATCCATCACTGCCCGTTCGCCGCTGACTTCTGGAGGCGTGTTGGTGGTACTGACATGATGATCGCCCCAGCAAAGGAGCTGTGGCGCTCAACCTTCCCTAGCTCCATGCCCAAGAAGTCTGCTAGCACGTTTCTGCTCCTCTGCTGCTGGGAATTGTGGAAGCATCGAAACAGCGTCGTGTTCTGGCAGGAACAGCCTGACCTCCGACGATTGATGGCAAGCTGCAAGGAGGCTGCCTCGTCATGGAGCTGCAGACTCCCCTCTAGGCTAAAATCTGTGACTACGATGTGGAAGCATCGAAGCCCTGTTCATTTTGTTGTATTTCATTCAGAGAAATGAGATGGACCATTGCATATTTTTTCAGTCTTGTATGCTGCTAGCATTCATCGGGTATAACCTTCGTGGATTTTATTATTTTAGACAAGCTTTTCCTTTTAGGTTGAAGACTTGAAGTGAACGGCAACAGAATTACTTTATGTTCAGATCAGACTGCTCTTCAGAGACATTGTTCTGCTCAGGTCTGAAGAGCACTACGGAGTTTCAAGGTGGGAGGTGGCATTGCCAGATAGTGGAGCCCATGATATATATGCAGTTGATCTTTAATGACCCATTCTTGAGTTTGACTGTCCCACTGCTCTCCATTTGTTGAGAACCTTTGCCGCTGCAACTGAAGAAGGCCAACCAAAATCCAATGGAGTATCCATGAAAGCAGTAGTAATCAGTACAAAAGGATAACCCAACACAAAACAACTTCTATAAATAATCAGCCTGTTCATTTCGGTTGGATTGGCTTATAAGCCTTGGGCTGAAGTACTGCTGGCTGGTTTGGTGTAAGAGGAAAATACTGTTGGCTGGCTGATAAGCCAAACCAGATACATGCAGTTACAGCCTGCCGAACAGGCTGAATAAGAGTACATCAAGAACGAATTAGTTATTTTATTCGTTCAATCGTTCCCTCAAAACTTAAAAATCGCTCTTAAACGAAATCAAAAGAGAGGCCCCTACAATACAAGACTTTAAAGACCGCAGAAACCATTTACCATTGATAACAAAGGCTGTGGTTTGGAGTTTTTGACTCACAGTAGACTTCGGCCGATAGATTTTACAATTTATCTCTGGATGAGACTGAATTCTTTATTTTTTTTACGAATTACACAGGTACAAATGTAGACGCTCAACATGTACGCACACTCACCCCTATGAATACACGTACGTAAACCTTACTTCTATGAGCATATTCGAAAGACTGTGCCGGCACACCTCGAGATTGACGAAGTCACCACAGGCGTCTCGCTGTCGACGGGAACATCACCGACCACTGAAAGTATAACGCCGTTAAATCCTGGATAAATTCAGAAAAATACGAGCATCCGTGCCAAATCGAGAACTTGAACCCAGATGAACAGGTTCCACCACAAGGAAACCTAACGAATTGAGCTAGCTCAGTTCGCCAGACTGAATTCTTTATTGCAATCCAGCATCTTATACTTCACCCCTACATTGCGTCTATATGAACACGTTCATCTCCCGGCAGAGGGGTGGCTCATTCATCTTAGCCCTTGTTTAGTTTCACCCTAATTTCTAAAATGTTGCTACAGTACCTGTCACATCGAATGTGTGCGGCCCGTGCATGGAGCATTAAATGTAGACGAAAAAAAACTAATTGCACAGTTTGGTGGGAAATTGCGAGACGAACGTTTTGAGCCTAATTAGTCTATGTTTGAACACTATTTACCAAATAAAAACGAAGATGCTACAGTAGCTCCAAAATCCAAATTTCGCGAAGTAAACAAGGGCTTAGATGGATCTGGTTAGATGGAGACATGGCCAATAGGTGCAACCTTCCCTGTTGCCCTAGAGGTGGGTCCTAGCCTTTTTACTCTCACAACAAATATCTCACAGGGCCCAGGGCTGCAGGATGCAAGCCTGGCTGAGGAGAAACAGAGTCGAATTTCGTTTCGTTGGAACTAGCTTTTTGGTTGCTTTAGGGAGTTTGCGGGCCTGATCCATATCTCTATCCAGTAAACAAACAGAAGAAGTTGCCCCGCATGATGCAGTTGGCCCGTGGGCTGCACAAAAACAAACGCGCCCTATATTTTCAAATAAGCCCATACCAAATATTTCCAAATAAGCCCCTCGTTCTCGGTCGGTGGGGCGGTGGGCGACGGTCGAACCAGACCAGGTAGCAGCGCACGCGGCACGCACAAGACGAGATCCCAATCTTGCGATCCACTCCGAGTCGCCCCACTCCCCTTCCGCCGCCGATGGCGCTGCCGTCGAGCGCCTCCTCCTCGGCGCGGCTGCGGCTGCTCACCGTGCCGGCGCTGCTACTGCTGCTCTCTGCAGCCGCGCTGCTCGTCTTCCTCATCCTCCCCTCGCTCTCCCCCTCCTCGGCCTCCTCCTCCGCCGTCTCCTCGCACCTCTGCGCCTGCTCGCCCCCCGCCACCCACACCACCACCACCGTCACCACCACCACCGTCACCGCCTCCCCCGCGCCCGTCACCACCTCCCCCGCGGACGTCTCCTGGCTCAAGGCCCAGCTCGCGTCCAACTCCCTCCTCCTCCCCGCCGGCGCCGGCGCCCACGACGCCTGGCACCGCCTGCGCAAGGGTATCAACCCCCGCACCCGCGAGCAGCAGCTCTTCGACATCAACAGGTATGCCTGGCCTGCACCTGCACTCGTAGTCTCGAATCGCCGCTTTCAATCACACAATGGCCAATGCACATTTATTTTGCCACTCGTGTCTGTGGAGTTGTCATTCTTAGTGTTGCAATTCCCGCTGTGTAGGCACCATGGGATCTCTCACTACCCGGACGAAGAGGCAAGCAACCACACCGCGCTGCCGTGCCCCGGTGAGCTCCTTGTGGAAGAGCACCACAGCAACTACGGCGAACCCTGGGCTGGTGGCCGCGACGTCTTCGAGTTCCTTGCTAACGCCTCCGCGCTAACGCCCACGGAGCAGGTTCTTGAAATCGGATGTGGCACGCTTCGTGTCGGCCTGCATTTCATCCGGTATCTTGAGGCTGGGAGGTTCCACTGCCTGGAGCGGGACGAGCTGTCCCTCATGGCTGCCCTCCGGTACGAACTGCCGGCGCAGGGGCTGCTGTACAAGCGGCCGATGATTGTGAGAGGGGAGGATATGGATTTCAGCAAGTTTGGGGACACGGTTATGTATGATCTCATTTATGCGAGCGCCGTGTTCCTCCATATTCCAGATAAGCTTGTTTGGACTGGGCTTGAGAGGCTTGCGGGGAAACTGAGGCCACAGAGAGGCCGGATTTTCGTGTCGCATAACATTAAGTTCTGCTCAAGGCTGGGAGGAGATGAGTGCACACGACGGCTTTCAAAATTGGGCCTTGAGTATGTGGGGAAGCACACTCATGATAGCTTGTTGTTTAACCACTACGAGATCTGGTTTGAATTCCGCAGGCCAAAGGTTTAGATCTTGATGGTATAGAGAGAGTGGTTTGGCTTTTGTGGTGCAGTTTTGGCTGTTTCAAGCACAGATTAAGCCATGCCTTGTACTGTTTGTACACTACTGGGACTTGACTTCAGATTGAGATTGATGTTCGCTCAGTGCCTAATTCAAGAATATGCGCCAAAGGTCATGATTGAGCTATGCTGTGGTGCTTCAGTGAGTCTTCCCAGTTTCATTCGGTGAGTGGTGGATGCAGGCTTTAGTTTTAATTAGCACCAATTATTGGATGTTCTGTCACTTCAGTAATGTTTCTGGTAGAAACTATGTGGTAGCTGATGTCAAAGTAAGTGTGATACATGTCTGTATTTTGAAAGCTACCTCTGTGGCCAAAAATAGAATCTCATGAGCACGCAGGGGTTTTTAAGCTGTGACAAGGATAACTCTGGTTATCTTGTTTTTGCATTTCATAGAACATACACATTTTTATGCTGCTGTATCCTGGTGAATAGTTGCAGGCATATGATTTTGTCAAATTACAATTACAGTGTATCCCTGTTCATTATATAACTAGCGTTTTTATTAAATTGTTTCTATTGGTGTGGTAACTAAAAGTACATCTTTTGAAATATGGCTGTTTTCATCTTAAAATTAGGAAAGTTTCAGTTATGTGTCAATCACCATATTTTTTCTCGTGCCATAGGATTTTCATATGCATGTTACCAATAATATATTTCAGTTGAATCATTTGTGTTTGCACATCAGATATATGTTGATCTTTCTTATATTGGCACAAAAGATTAACTTGAATTATTTCTAGGTTGGACCATAGTGTTCTTATCGTGTCGTTAGGTCTGGGATGATGTTTTTCTGTTATTTAACTATCATTAATGTTTAAAGCTTTTTTTTTAATACGGCATGCTCTTATTTAGATTCTTCGTATCCTCAGCTCAGCATACCACATTTTTTCCCCCTCATGTAGGCATTCCTTAGGATTTGAGACATCCTGTTAGCCTATGATGACCTGTCATGTGTCCATGTATGGCATAAGGATCTGATGACTTGTGCATCACAGGATTCAGGACTCTGTTTATCTTTCCTTTGACAAATACTGTGGTGACCAAAGTGCAAAGTTGCTTACATGAGGGCTAAATTTTCTTCCACAAAAGTTACATCAAGCGGGTGTTAGTTGAATGCTTCAGCGTTAATTGTACCAATTATTGGACGTATATGCTTCTCAGCTTTAATTGGGTCAATTATTGGATGTACTATTGTGCTTTTGCCAGATTTCGTTTCTTGTAGCTAATGTCAAACTCGTATTCTATGTCAGTCTGAAAGTGCTCCACACCATGGTCAAACTAGAATTGTATTGCCAGGTGTAGGGCTTAATGGTTTTACAAGGATAACACCAGTAATCATATGTTTGCATTTTATTGAAGTCCCTACTGACAGGAAAGTAGTTTGTTATGCTAGTGTTATGGTGAGCAGATGTGGGCGTATGATTAACTTAAATTGTAACCCTAGTCATCATATAATTAATGTTTTATCAAATTGTTTCACCTGGAGTTTTGACTTAAAATTAGAATAGAGAATAGCTGTGTTCCATTTCAATTTACCTATGCTTTCCTGCTGATCATTTGGATATGCAAATGTGTGTTAGCAGTATATTTCACCACAACCATTCGTCTTTGCACAGCAACTACCTGTTCAACTATTTTGCTGGTGGCAGAGATAAATGTGAAATAGTCAATTAATTTAATGACGAGCATCTTGTTCTCTTATTATATCATTATAACTGGGGGTGATGTTCAGTTATTACTCAGTTCTCATTAGCATTTTCAGTGAAGTTTTTTTTTGTTAATCAGCCTGCATTGTTTTAGACTCTCCGCATGCTGAGCTTCAAGCATACTGCAGTTTTCTCATTTAGGCATTCCATGTGATTTGAGACATGCCCTATCAGCCTATGATGATTATGCATAGGTATCCATGCATGGCATAGGCCTTTGATGACTTTAGTATTTTCTGTCATAGGATTCATGACTCTGTTTACCTGTTATAACAATACTTACCCTGTTGCAAGACTTCAAAGTTGCCAACACGAATGCTAAATTGTCTTGTTTCTTTGTCCAGAATCGATTTACATGTGTGTGATATATAGAAGTTCACCTCCTCTAACAATTTACCAGTCAATCATGATTCATGGGAGCTATAGCAACCCTGAGATGGATGGGAGGGACCTGTCCTTCCTGGGTAGCTGACTGCCTGCCGGGCTGGGCATAAATTTCGGCGGCGAGCATTGCACATGCCTTCTCCTTGGTGAGTCGTGACCCCTTCCCTTGGTTTCTGTTGCAATTTATGAGGACTCTGGTAGGTGCACAGTGCACTGCTTGTAGATCCCACGGACTCACGGAGTATTCCGTCTAGAAAGAATGTAATTTTTAAAAAGTACCAAGTTAAAATATTTGTGATATTAAATAAATATTATTAAATTTGTCGTGAGTATATATTTTCAAGATATATTTATTTGACATTGTAAACATTAATATTTTTACTTATATAATTGATCTAACTTTAAACACTTCAATAAAAAACGCATGTACGGAGTAGAATTGTACTGCAGGCAAAGGTTTGTCGTGAGTATTGTTTTTGAACTGAGGACAGAGGTAGTATCAATTTATGGTACTGAGGGCTGGTCAGTGCTGTATTGTGCCCCACCACTGCCGCTCTGGGCCCATCTTCTGCCCAAGCTTTACATGCATGCAATCATCCGTCCGCCTGCCAAAGTGGCAATCCATTCATTCATTCACATGACAGGAGGTCAGGAGCCCACAGAGCGGAGCCATGTGTTTGGTTTGGGCATCTCTGGTGCTCTCAATCCTGAAGGGTGCAGGCACTGTTACCATGAAGGATCCAGCGCTTGTCGTCGTCGCGGATTCGGCCCGGATTTTCGTAGAAACAGACCCTCTCGATCGGAACGACGACACCTCGTGCCACCTTTTCCAGTTGATTCTCGAACCATCCTAGAAAACGACTTGAGGTCTTCCAGCCTCAGACTTTTTCACGATGGACTGACGGAGGGACGATTCGAGGTCTTCTCTTTCTTTCGGCACAAACTTTTTCACGTCGGAGTGACGGACATGTTGTATTCACCCTACATCTCTATCGAGAATTGTTTTCTTTTCTCCAATATAAAAAAAAACTTGTGCATAGTTATCGTCGGCGTAAAAATGTGACAATGCGCCCGATATACTACAAACTAGAACGATCTGGGCGGAGTCAACCCGGAGATCTGCTTGGCTTCAACACAGGACCCGTCGATCCTGAAAATCCCGAAGGCGTGTCAGTCAATTTGACATGCAATTGACAAGGAGAGAGTTTTATCAGTAGTTTAGGGTGGAACATGTCGGTTTTACCCAGACAGTTCCAAGTATGCTGCTTCGGGAGCAGCCAAATAGGGGAATCGACTAAATAGCCGATACAAGAAGAAATCGACTGTTTAAGGACTGTGATGCTCGTGGGTCATGATTAATTTATAATAACAAGTACAATACACCCAGGTATAAGTAATATAAAGAAACATCATTAGCCAGATGTATATAACCAATGTAAAGCATGGAGCCGATAAGTTTAACAAGAGGGGATATAACATGCGAACAAATCGACTGTCTGGTACAAATGGATCTACAAACGCTTTGGATGTAATCTATTACCATCAACAGTGAGGTTCGACCGGATCGATGCAGCTATGATAATAATAACAAACTAAAGCCAAAAAATCTATTAAATCATCTATATATTAACAGGTTCATGGAAAACATGCTATATATGTGAAAGCACAGGCGAATCGGCTAAAATAGCCGATACAGACATAGCAAGCAAACAGAGTATATATCTCGACCATAAACAAAACCACTAATAGATAATCTCTAACCCAAAGTCTTACCAGTGATGTTCGATCGGATCGATGCAGCTATGGTAGTGTCATTAGATTAGATCTCATTAACTAGTGAGTTTATTCAGAATTAAAACATGTCTTTAAATGCATACTATGTTCGATTGGAATAGAGATAAAACAACCGATCTAGTAGAATTAAGTCATCAATTATGAGATTTAAAGCGTGACCAGACTAGAAGACGATCAATTGTGATGATATGATGCCGATCTATCTCTATCTCAATCAAGTGATTTGTTATAATTAATGAGACATTAATTATAACAAGATTGATAACCGGTGAATCAGCCAAAAACATCAAGGAAAACCTTACTAATCTTAGCAGATTCGATACCTGGTGATATTGTATTAAACAACAAGTTGTTTAACACAAGATCAATAACTTTGATCTATATTATGATTCGTAAGAGATCAATTAGCTGATGCAGCCTTACAAATAATGATATGGATCGATAACTAACTTATATTATACTCGTAAAAGATCAATCGGCTGATGCAGCTTTACAAGTATGATACAAGTCGTGATGGTACTCACAGATAAGCCAGGGATCGATCGGTCAATGCAGCCCTGCTTGTTGAAGAACTCATCGAGATCTACAGTACTCCTACTCCTAAGGGTTGTCGTGAAGCTAGAAAAGTAATTGTATTGATTAATTAATTTTCTATTATAATAACTGGGGTCCAATATTTATACCCGAAACCTAAACATGAGTCCTACTTAAATACGACTCATTACAATTCTTAGAAAAGAAAACATTCATAACTTAAAAATAACCTGAACTCTAATCTTTTCCCTTTTGTAGAGTCCGGCATATTTCCTCCCGACGCCATCCGTACGTAGTCCATTGACGTTGTCTGCTGACGTCATCTATAAAATAGCTGATTCCGACACTGCATCAAACCAACAGACATCGATTCACACCTGATCGATTCCTTGATGATACAATCTTAGAAGCTTCGAGTTCCTGCGTTCTTCTTTGCTAAATTTTGGTGTAAACACATGCCCCCTAATTTTGGGATAAAAATGATTTTATTCCAAAATTTCTATTTATCTGCTCACCGTGTCGTAACCGTTTATTCCGAAACAAACGCGTGACTCCTGACTTTTCGGGCCAAACTTTATATAGCATCCCAATAGTATTACCTTCAATCCACTCGACCGATTTACTTTCCCCTTCTTTCTCGAGCAAGCCTCAACAACCAAAGCCGTCATCACCAAGGCCTTAACCCTAGCAAATTCTCTGTTC